AGCTGCCACTGTTGCAGGTTTTCTTGCAACTGCTGCTGTCTCTCTACTTGTTTCTTTTCTTGTTTATTTTGTTATTCAAGCTGCCATTGTTGCAGGTTTTCTTGCAACTGCTGTTGTCTCTCTTCTTGTTTCTTTTCTTTTCCTCCAACAACTGTTGTAATCTCTTTTCTTGTTTCTTTTGCTGTTCTTGTATTGCTGCCATCAAATCTGCTTAGCTGTAGTTTGATTTGCCGCTTCTCATTTCCATCTTCTCTTTTTCTTCTTTTTTTTATCCCACTCCTGACACCAATTTGTTATGTCTCTGTTTGTTAGTTAATTTTCCGTAAATTCGTTCCAACGAAACTTTAGCGACACAAGTACTTTCTTAAATAAAACTGGTTTATTCTTTCCGAATACAACTTTACGATACACTTAATTTCAACAGTCCCTCTATAACAACGATATAACTCACGTCTCACGTGGCCAACAATATTTTATCCGCATACATTCAATTACTCATTACCTCGTCCCGTCACGTTGTGACCATCTTATATATATACCAGACTACCCCCAATCTAGTGGTCTCCCGATAATTCATGAAGGTTCGAGAAGGAAGTGGCGTGATACTAGTCACGTGACATCGCTGACGCAACAATACTTTATACTATGCTAAGATTACTTGAGTAATCGTATGGTCCATACTCTCTTCAATCACTTGAGTAATCCTATGGTTCATAATATCTTCAGTCACTTGGGTAATTGCATGGTTCATACTCTCTTCAATCACTTGGGTAATTGCATGGTCTATACTCTCTTCAATTACTTGGGTAATCGTATGGTCCATACTCTCTTCAATCACTTGAGTAATCCTATGGTCCATAATATCTTCAGTCACTTGGGTAATCGCATGGTCTATACTCTCTTCAATTACTTGGGTAATCGTATGGTTCATACTCTCTTCAATCACTTGAGTAATCCTATGGTCCATAATATCTTCAATCACTTGGGTAATCATATGGTCTATACTCTCTTCAATTACTTGGGTAATCATATGGTCTTTACTTTCTTCAGTTACTTGGGTAATTGTATGGTCCATACTGTGATTGCTAAAGCTTTCTTTGACGTGTTGAAGCATAAAAACAATATAGCCTCATCTAGCCAAAGCTGTGAAATATTTTCACACGGCAGTAAAACACTTATGAAAGTGATAATATACAGGACAATAAAGAAAGTTCTTCGAACCATTCGAGGCCTACGTTTAGCCTGTTAAATCTGTGAATCAGGGGTTTCTTGTTTCTTAGCTCGTTGCCGCAAAAACACGATTTCGTTCTCGTACCATGAGTATGCTATGAAAATATCAGCCAAAAACCATTATTCGGTCAGAGTGGGCGGTGGGTGCTATTGACTATCCGCATTCTCTCTTGTCTAACAGATCAAAATGAGGTACAGTCATTTGCAGACAGTCCTTTGTATCAATAACTATGAGAGAGGGGTGCAGAGGGTACCTCGTACTCGGGCCCGGGAATTTCCTGGAATCTCAGAAAATGTTTGCATATATTGAAGACTAGCATTCACATTTTGTGTGAGCCTACGGTTTTATATATCCGCAATTCGTTGAAATTATGATCCATAACATTATGTAGTGTTGGGAAATGTAGAGGTATAATGAATAATATTATTTGCTTTCATCATAGAATCACTGCATCAGTATGATTTAATGAAGAAGCCGTGGAGCCAGTCTGAGACGGGCCCACTGCCCGCACCGCTTTGTTCGATTTTGTCTGGAATGTCAGCAAAGTATTGATGTACTCTTTAATGGGATATAATAATAATACCTACACGTGTATGCATATTATATCAAGTTATCAAATACTACGTTACGTTACGTGCTTTTTAGATGAAATACTGCCTATAAACGGATTGAAGAAAAAAGAAAATTTTGCCTTGGAGTCTCAAGTCAAAAACAGTTGCCGAACATGCGATCAGCTGATGCGTGGTCACTCGTCTAAAGCATATCACACAATGCGTCGTAGGTCAAACCTTCTCGTCAGAAGGCGTCTGCCCGACGATTCGTCGGGTCCTGTGCCATCTCACACTGCGTTTGAGCTAAGACTAACAATACTGAGAAGTCATTCACACTACTCGGACAATTTTGTGAAATATGCAAATTCAAGCCTCCAAATTCCAACAATTTCGACGGTTTCTATGACAACCAACAAAGCTGAACGCAAATAATACGTCATTTTTGGCGGGCCCGTGCTGAAAAGAGATTGTTTCATTGGCAATTGTTGCTCCGCTTTAGTCGCGCCATTGCGGCAAGTGGTGACTGGTGTTTCATCCATCCAAAACTGCTTATTCTACTTCGGTAAGTCTTTTTTTTTTCTACCCAGTTCATGTGTACATTTAACAAACTAAGTGTGTTAATATTACAGGCCCGTGCCCAGGATTTGTTTTGGGGTGTTGCCCAAATTTTCTTCATACTCAGAATTGCGAAAATTATCCTTGTCAATTTATTTCAGTTAGCTATAAATGAAATGACTTTCTACACAAATATGGGAAATTAATATGAATCACTGTAATAAATTTAGGTAGTGTGTGTTAGAAGGAAGACAGCTGGGCTAGTGGCAAATTACAATCACTCATGTCTGACTATATATTTGTCTGTAAAAATATCATAAACAACTGTTTAGAGTTTAATAAAATTTTCAGGGTATATTTGCTTCAGCAGCTCTTAGAACGCTTTTGAATTTAGGAGGCTTGTAAGTTCCTCTTGCATGCAG